TCCCTCCCCTCCACCCCTGCCATTCCCTCCTCTCCACCCTGCATTCCCTCCCCTCCCCCCTGCATCTCTGCCCTCCACTCCTGCATTCCCTCCCTCCCCCCTGCCTTCCGTCCCTCCACTCCTTGCATTCCCTCCCCTCGCACCCCTGCATCGTCCCTCCCCTCCACCCCTGCATTTCCCTCCCCTCCACTCCTGCATTCCCTCCCCTGCCACCCCTGCATTCGTCCCCTCACCCCTGCCATTCCGTCCCCTCCACCCCTGCGCATTCCTCCCCTCCACTCCTGCATTCCCTCCCCCTCCCGACACGCTGCATCCCTCCTCCACACCTGCATTCCCTCCCCTCCACCCCGCATTCCCTCCCTCCACCCCTGCATCTGCTCCTCCGAATCCTGCATTCCCTCCCTCACCCTGCAAATTCCCTCCCCTTCCACCCCTGCATTCGTGTCCCGTCCACCCCTGCATTCCCTCCCCTCCACCCCTGCATTCCGTCCCCCCTTCACTGCGCTGCATTGCTCCCCTCCACCCCTGCATCCTCCCCTCCACCCTGCATTCCTCCTCACCCATGCCCATTCCTCCCCTCCGACCCTGCATTCTGGCTACGCCTCACCCCTGCATCTCCTCCTCCACTCCTGCATTCTGTCCCCTCCAATCTTGCATTCCCTTCTTCCTCCACCCCTGCATTCCGTCCCCTCCACTCCTGCATTTCCGTCCCTCACTCCTGCATTCCGTCCCTGCACTCCTGCATTCCCTCCCTTCACCCCTGCATTCCTCCCCTCCACTCCTGCATTCCTCCTCACCCCTGCATTCCCTTCCCCCCACTCCTGCATTCCCTCCCCTCCACTTCCTGCCATTCCGTCCCCTCCACCCCTGCATTCCCTCCCTCCACTCCTGCCATTCGTCCCTCCACCCTGCATTCCCTCCCTCCACCCCTCATTCCCTCCCTCCACCCCCTGCATTCCGTCCCCTCCACCCCTGCCATTCAGTCCTCTCCACTCCTGCATTCCGTCCCCTTCCCCCCGTGCATTCCGTCCCCTTCACCCCTGCATTCCCTCCCCTCCACCCGCATTCTGTCCCTCCACCCCTGCCCATCTGTCCCCCCACCCCCTGCATTCCCTCTCCCGTCCCTGCATTTCTCCCCTCCACCCCTGCATTCCCTCCTCTCCACCCCTGCATTTCCTTCCCTCCACCCCTGCATTCCCTCCCTCTCCACCCTGCATTTCCTCCCTCCACCCCTGCATTCCCTCCCCTCCCACCTGCCATTCCGTCCCCTCCACTCCTGCATTCCGTCCCCTCCATCCTGCCATTCGTCCCCTCCACTCCTGCATTCCCCTCCCCTCCACCCCTGCATTCCGTCCCCCCACTCCTGCATTCCCGTCCCTCCCACTCATGCATTCCGTCCCCTCCCACTACCTGCATTCCGTCCCCTCCACCCCTGCATTCCTCCCTCCACCCCTGCATTCTCTCCCCTCCACCCTGCATTCTGTCCCTCCCACTCCTGCCATTCCCTCCCCGTCCACCCCTGCATTCTGTCCTCCACCCCTGCATCTGTCCCCCTCCACCCTGCATTCTGTCCCCTCCAATCCTGCATTCCCTCCCCTCCACCCCTCATTCCCTCCCCTCCACCCCTGCATCTGTCCCTCCAATCCTGAATTCCCCTCCCCTCACTCCTGCATTCCCTCCCTCCACCCCTGCATTCCCTCCCCTCCACCCTGCATTCTGTCCGCCTCCACTCCTGGCAGTTCTGTCCCCTCACCCCTGCATTCCCTCCCCCACCCCTGCATTCCGTCCCCTCCACCCTGCATTCTGGTCCCTCCACCTCCTGCCCATTCTGTTCCCCTCCACCCCTGCATTTCCGTCCCCTCCTACTCCTGCATTCTGCCCCTTCCACCCTGCCATTCTGTCCCCGTCCACCCGCATCCCTCCCTCCACCCTGCATTCCATCCCCTCACTCCGCCATTCCCCTCCCCTACCCCTGCATTCCTCCCCTCCACCCCTGCATCCTCCCATCCACCCCTGCATTCTGTCCCTCCCACCCCTGCCATTCTGCTCCCCTCACCCCTGCCATTCTGTCCCTCCACCCCTGCTTCTGTCCCCTCCACCCTGCATTCCCTCCCTCCACCCTGATTCTGTCCCCTCACCCCGTGCATTCTGCTCCCTCAATCCTGATTCCCTCCCCCCACCCCTGCATTCCTCCCTCCACTCTGCATTCCCTCCCTCCACCCCTGCATTCCTCCCCTCCACCCCTGCATTCCTCCACTCCACCCTGCATTCTGTACCTCCACCCTGCCATCCCTCCCTCCACCCCTGCATTCTGTCCCCTCCATCTTGCATTCCCTCTCCTCCAATCCTGCATTCCCTCCCCTCCACCCCTGATTCGCGCCCGTCCACTCCTGCCATTCCGTCCCCCCTCCGTGCATTCCGTCCCCTCCACTCTGCATTCCCTCCCCTCACCCCTGCATTCCCTCCGCCTCCACTCCGCATTCCGTCCCCTCCACTCCTGCATCGTTCCCCTGCTTCCCTCCCTTCCACCCCTGCTTCCCTCCCTCCACTCCTGCATTCCCTCCCTCCACCCCTGCATTCTCCCCTCCCCGCGCTGCATTCTGTACCCTCCACCCCTGCATTCCCTCCCCTCCACCCCTGCCATTCTGTCCACCTCCATCTGCATTCCCTCTCCTCCAATCCTGCATTCCTCCCCCACCCCGCATTCCGTCCCTCCACTCCTGCATTTCTGCTCCCCTCCACTCCTGCATTCCGTCCCCTCCACTCCTGCGCATTCCCTCCCCTTCACCCCTGCATTCCCTCCCCTCCACTCCTGTATTCACCTCCCTTCAGCCCCTGCGATTTCCCTTCCCCTCACTCCTGCATTCCATCCCCTCCACTCCTGCATTCCGTCCCCCCACTCCTGCATCCGTCCCTCCACTCCTGCATTCCGTCCCCTCCACCCCTGCCATTCTCTCCCCCACTCCTGCATTCTCTCCCCTCCACTCTGCCATTCCATCCCCTCCACTCCTGCCATTCTGTCCCCTCTCCTGCATTCCCTCGCCCTCCATCTCCTGCATTCGCTCCCCTCCACCCCTGCATTCCCTCCTCTCCACCCCTGCATTCCCTCCCCTCCACCCTGCATTCTTGCCCTCCATCCTGCATTCCCTCCCTCCACCCTCGCATTCCGTCCCCTCCACTCCTGCATTCCCTCCCCCTCCATCCGCTGCATTCCTCCCCACCCTGCATTCCTCCCCTCCACTGCTGCGATTCCTCCCCTCCACTCTGCATTCCCTCCCCTCCACCCCTGCAATTCCGTTTCCTCCACCCCTGCATTCCCTCCCCTCCACCTCCTGCATTCCCTTCCCCCTTCCACCCTGCATTCCCTCCCCTCCAACCTGCATTCCCTCGCCTCCACCCTGCATTCCTCCCCCCACCCCTGCATTCTGTCTCCCCAATCCTGCATTCCCTCCCCTCACCCCTGATTCCCTCCCTCCACCCCTGGCATTCTGTCCCCTCCACCGCCTGCATTCCCTCCCTCCACCCCTGCATCCGTCCCTTCCACTCCTCATTGCTCCTCGCGACCCCTGCATCCTCCCTCCACCCGCATTCCCCCCTCCACCCTTGCATTCTCTCCCCTCCACTCCTGCATTCCCTCCCCTCCACCCCTGCATTGTCCCCTCCACTCCTGCATTCTGTCCCCTCCATCCCTGCATTCTGTCCCCTGCACTCCTGCATTCTCTCCCCTCCACCCCTGCATTCTCTCCCCTCCACTCCTGCATTCCCTCCCCTCCACCCCTGCATTCTCTCCCCTCCACTCCTGCATTCCCTCCCCTCCACCCCTGCATTCTGTCCCCTCCACTCCTGCATTCTGTCCCCTCCACTCCTGCATTCTGTCCCCTGCACTCCTGCATTCCCTCCCCTCCATCCCTGCATTCTCTCCCCACGTGGCCAGCAAATCCTTGGCCACCGGTTCCCTCAGCTCTCCAGTTGAACCCAACCTAGGAGAGACCCTCCCCGTTTGTTCCTTTTGCCCCGGTTGCCGGTTGGCCCTTTTTTTTTTGCGTTTCCAAGGGGCCCCGTTAGGCGGCTTCGTCCCCGTTCTTTTTGTTTTTGGGTTGGCATTTTTTTTTTTTTTTGGGGGCGTTGGCCCCGAAACCAGCCTGGAGCCTGACTCCCGGCTCAGGCCCCCTCCGCTGGCCAAGGGCCTGCTGGGAATGAATGTGGCTCCCGGGCTGGGCTGGGGCGTGAGTGAGTGTGCGGTCAGGGCTGGGGCCTGCTCCAGGATCCGATCGAGAGACAGCCAGGGCATCTGTGTCCTGGGGCAGCACACGTGTTCTCAGGGAATCCCCCTGTAGCCCGGTCGTGGAGGTGTCATCCCATTTTACAGATGAAGACACTGAGGCTCAGTGTGCCCTGCTCAAGGTCATGCAACCAGTAAGGGTCATCTGAGTCCAAGCCCTGCTCATTTTAACAACTAAGCCAAGCAGGTCGGGGGAGACTGAGGAGATCACAGGTCCTAGATCGGGACTCTTAGTTCTGAGGCACAAGGGCCGCCTTGCCTTGCTGGCTACCCCACGTTCCAGCATGTGGCTTGTGCAGTGAAGGCTGTGTAGGCAAAAGAGCCCCTCTCTGCAGAGCCTCCCTCTCCTGTACCAGACTGGCCAGGTGGGAGGCACAATGCCCTACCTGGCATCATGGCATTGGCATCGCCTGGGCCCTTGTCACCCTGCTCCAAACTGGTGCCAAGTGGCTGGAGCACTTCTGGAACCATCTGCTGGGTTTGACATCAGAAGCTGATGGCCTGGTGAGAATTCAGGTGGTGTCCGTAGGCCCTGCACACTGGAGCTGGGCCACCTACCTGTGGGCAGTTCAGGGGGTGGTCCGTGTGGGGGCCGGGTTTGGTTAGGGCTGAACCATCAACCCGAGGCCACAGTGGCAGGGACAGACATGTTGGGGGTGACTGTCACATGCAGAAGAAACAGAACAACAGCTCAGCAAAGGGAAGAAACGCAATGCTATTTTCATTAAGGAATTTATTTCTCTTTAAAAAACAACAGTGGTTCGATCTAGGTCCAGCAGCATTGTGACATGTTAGACGGAAGACACAGAGTCAGAGCAGCAGGAGGACACAAGCCACTACCTTCGGGAATGGCCTCCAAAGTGGAGCTGTCTCCATTCGTCAATGTTAAAATCTCCCTGAAAAAAAAATAGAACCCTTTGGATGCTAAGGTGATTATTATTGTTTTGACAACACCAACAACCCCTAAACTCCTCTAGTTGAGAACACCTGCTTTGGGTCTAGTACAGAAACGACTTCTCAGTGGACAGGGGAAGACACCTAGCTGCTGCTTTTGGGGAAGTGTCTCTCCCTCCTAGGGAGGGCCAGCGTTCCAAATGTTTTAAATCATGGTCCCTAGCACAAGCCTTTGCAGTTAGGCCAGCGAGACCCCCTGTGCCTGGCGGGGTCTGACCTGCGCACGTCGGGGCTTAACAGCTGGGTGTGTGGTTGTGAAGGCAGGTGCAGGCGGTGCCTTGGGGGGCGAGGGTCCCCATCGTGGTCTGCTGTGAGCAGGAAGGTTCCAGCTCTCTGCTGTTCCCGACTCACTCAGCTATGCCACTTCCCAATGCACAGAGACCTCATACTCACTACCTTTCCCTAGCAAGGGCTAAAAGCTAGAAGCTCCTTTCTTGGAGCGTCAGGTTATGGAAACGGGACAACCCGCAGAGGTTGCCCTCGGAAAGGTATGGGCGCTCAGCAGGATGTGCGAGCACACGAGGAGGCCCAGGCGGAGAGCCAAATGCCACTCGGACAGGCGTTTCCTCCCGTCCCAGACATTTCTGGTTGTCCGAGCCGCCGCCATCCCCTTTGGCAAGGCCGGGACGACCCCTCCGCTTTGAGGTCAGCAGCTCAGTGAGAAAGTCGGCGGGACACCGGAACCGATGTCCTGAGCCTTTCGGGAAAGGACGGGGTGCAGGAAGCAAGAGGGATGTCAACAGTGGGGGCTGGGCTCCACAGAGAGGCATGGAAAATTCCAGCGTCCTCAGGGCTCACCTGGGCTGCAGGGCAGGCAGGCGGCTGCTTTCTACTTGTGCTTCCAATGCCACGGTGGTGTCCACGCATGAGTCCCCAGAGCTCCCGGCCAGCCTTTGCCCCAGCGGGCTGCCCCGTGGGTAGGCACCATGGTGTCTGTGGGGCAGGCCAGGCCTCCCTGCCACCTGCCCCCCCAAGACAAGCCACGCACATCAGGAAACAAGCAAACCCCCACATGGCCACTCAGGATAGAGCCACGCTTAGCCACTGTGCCAGGAGCAGCCGCCGGGCCTCAGGGCATGTTCCCGGCCAAGAAGGACTGGAGAATGAGCTGATGTGGGACGTGGACACACCCTCCACGCAGCGAGGGTTGGCTCTTCTCGATGGTCCAGGTGACGGTCTGGGGGCCCCTGAGGGCCTCGAGGAACACGGCAGAGACCACACCTGTCCATCGGGGACAGCAGCTCGTCTCCTCAAAAGTGGAAGCAGAGACGGTTCCAAGAGACTCGATGTCTCACCTCGAAGGCACGGAGTCAGTGAACGTACGGTGAGAAAAAACGTCACTCTTGGAGCAGGGCACGCTCTTCTGCAAAGAGCTCCAATGCAGTACGGGGAGTCGGATGCACTCACTGTCCAAGTGTGCCTTCTCCTGGACAGGCAGTGGGCGGAAGGGGCTGTTTTTAATTTAAAAACATCATTTTAAAAAATGCAGCTCAGAAACCAAGGCTGGAGTAGGAGAAGGTGGGGAGCAGGGCTGATTTTCAGGCACAGTTCTAAAGACTTCCCTTCTCTTGCTCCAGCCCATGTATGGGCCAAAAGGAAGAGGAGGGTGTAACAGGCCCAAGTGACTCTGCCCCTGTCTGCTACGGGCACTAGGGACAGGCGGTGAACACGAAGGAAGACTCGGGTGATCATGGGAGTCCGTGCAAGGCCCATGTGTTGGTATTGCCGGAGCGCACGTGACATAGGGACATGGCGGCCACAGGTGTGTTTCCTTTCTTGCTCCTTTGGGATTCTCTGCTGCAAATGGACAGTGCGTTGGCTCTGAGGCATAAAAAGAGACGGCATCGATGGGCGAGGACTGAGTTGCAGTGGACGGGGCAGAAGGGATTAATCTACAGAGTAGGAGGCTGGGGTGGGGTGGTTAGCCTGGTGACCGTCCTAGGCTGATGGTTCTTCTTTTCATCAGGAAATATCAGCAAGAACTTGAGGGTCTTAAAACACTGTTGAAAGAGCTTCCCACTTCCTCGGCAGATCCTGAATATGGCTGCGTTTGTTTTGTATTCAGCCCAGCAAAGGTACAGGAGGGCAGCCCCATGAGATGAGGGCTGGTCTTGGAGAAAACAATACTGCATATTAAAAAGATTTGAGGTAAGCCCAACGATTTCCTTCCCCCCATTTGTTTGTTAAATGACCTCAAAATGATGAGTCCCAAAGGTCAGGCCCCTTTATAGCAGCATGCCCCAGGACCCACGGGCAGTTGGGGAGGGCACGGAAAGCGGGACATGGAGCTGGCGTGCTCCTGACTCTTCCCTGCGAGCTGCCTGCGTCACCCAGAGAAGCGTGTTCAGGGCAATCACACAGGAAGCCCTGCTGATGGCATGCAGCTGTGGCTCTCCCACGCTAGGGTCATCGGCATGACCTGGGGAGCTTTCTAAAGATGCCTATTCCTAGGCTCTGCTCCCAGAGATGCCCATTCTGCAGGTTTGGGGTGGAGCCTGGGAATCTGCATTTTAGCGGGTGGCACCAGAGCACGTAGCGCAGGGCCCACGCCGTGAGAAACGCTGGCAGCTGCCGGGCAACTGAGACCAGCTGTGAGGCAGAATTAGATGCCAGGGACCCAGCCAGTGCGACTCACCACTCACCCTGCCCTGGAGGGGAGGGGAGGGCGGATTCGCTTCTTGTCACTTGTCATGTGGCAAGGCGGCAGGGGGTGGCCAGCAGCTCCCTGGGGCTCGATAGTCATGCTACGAGGGCCTGGGGACTGCCTTCAGGGGGCCGTGGTCCAGCAAAGACACCAAGTCCTCTGAGGGCTAGTCTGAGACGCCCAGTTAGAGCTTGTCTCCATCCCCAGCTCTCCCAGGGAAGAGACAATGAGTTTGCCTTGAGCTTTTTTGGTGGCCCAGCCCCCCTTGGGCATCCTGTCTGCCAGGAGAGACCATCTCACCCATGCCACGTGGCCCAGCAAACTGGAGACCCTGTGACCACTTGGGGAACATGCCTAGGTCCCTGGGCGACCTCCCCACCCCCTGTACGGACACAGAGTTGGGGTCATTCAGGACAAGCCCACTGACTCTTGCTTCCTGCTGCTTCCATGGGCCCTAAGTGTTTGGGACAGTTGTGGCTCCGTGAGTAATCCTTACGATCATACACTCCCATTAAAAATATCCCCAAAGGCAAGTCTCTTGCAAACTACTGGGTTGCTTAGCAGTCAGGACCTGCTGAGAAAGAAAGAGGCCCAGGGCCCTGCAGGCTGCGAATGTCCCTCTCTGAGTACCAGCCGCCTTCCAGAAGGAAGAGGCGGCAGAGGCGGAAGCGACCACGGTGCACCCCGTAAGGAGGAGGGCACACCCCGGGTGACACCCTGGGCCCCCACAGGGGACATTCTGGCTGGAGCAGGGGTGGAGGAGTCCCAAGTGTGTCTTGGGCATTTAATTCAGGTGGTTACAGCCAACAGAATGGTGATTCCGATGTGAGGAGAAGGTTATAGAGATGGATGTGGGTAAATACAACCAATCCTTTAAAGTGAACTGTGAATCATTTTCTACATTTAATAAAAACATTTTCTCTTTTGAGGCTCTGGAAGTCTTGAGTCACATTTTTTTTTGTAAACCCCGCCCCCCTAAAATGCCTTAAAACACATGGCTTAACAGTGGCTGCACAGAAAATATACACCCTCAAAGTCGGACTTTCATTTAAATACAAATATACAAAATGTAAACTGAGACAATAGAGAAATTTACAAAACTTTTCTTTAAAAATAATAAAGACAAAATTCAGTTCTAGTTAGGACGCTATTAAAATACGTGCAAGTTATCAGATCCAACCGGACTTCTATTGCAATGTTCGACAAGGACAAATCCAGTCCACCCCGGCTGGGGCCGCCTCGGAAAACAGACCTGAGTGGAAATTTCTTTGAGAAACCGCGAGGTTCTACGTCGACAGGTGAACGGCCTCCTTCCTCGGCTCCTGGGGGGCTCCCTGGCCGCCCGGCCAGAGCGGACGCTCCCCGGGTCCGCTGCTCAGCAGGAGGGCCGGCCGGGCCGCCGCAGACACCAGGCCAGAGCGGGAACTAGCTGCTGCCCGTGGAGTTCGAGCTGACGTGGTTTGAATTTATGTGGTGGTTAAAACTGGTCTTGGAGCTGGGCGAACTCTTGGCATTGTTCTGGTGCTGGGGTTGGGGTGTGGGAGAAACGGGGGTGGAGAGAAGGTAATTAATAGAACCCCAAATCAGGGGGAGGCGGCCCCTCCTGCGATGCCCACGTTGGTTCCGCCTGCAGGCCCGGAGTGAGCCTGGCTGGGCTGGAATTCCCTTCCTGGCGGAGGGACCGCAGGCCGTATTTAGTCTCTTGGTTTCCTCACCTGCAAGGTGGGGTAGGAGCAGCTTCTTCATGGGGTTGTTGGGAGAGTAAAACAAGACCAAGACTGCAAAGGGCTCTGGCAAGTGCCTGGCCCTGGCAAAGTCTGCCCAGGCTGCCAGCCGGAGGGCACGGCAACCATGACTGGGGCTCAGAGGTCCTGCAGATGCCTCGCTGACACCTGCTCTCCCTGTTCTCTGTGATGTCGAGTCCTTATCTACATATGGCGGTCTTTGCAAGGGCCACACAGGACAGTGGTTCTCAACCTTCGGTGATTTTGCCCCCGAGGGGCATTTGGCAATGTCTGGAGACATTTTTGGCTGTCACAACTGAGGGATGAGGGACATCGGGGTGTCCTGCCCCCCACCAAACGCCACCACCACAAAGGATTAACTGGTCCCAAATGCCAGCAACGTCCAAGTGAGAAACCCTGCAGGAGGGTAAACGCTGGGCTGGCCCTGCCTGCCGCCCCGCCCGGGGGGGTCCCATCAGCCACAGTGGGTGTCGGGGGGCTTGGGACCCGTTGGTTGTCCCTTCCAGGCTGCTACAAGCCCCCCACGTAAGTAGGATCCCGCAGCTCTGGTCTCTACCGTGGGTCTTCAGCTGCCCACGGGAGCGGGCCGGGGCCCCGCCAGGTGCGGTTTCTCACCTGACGCTTGAAGATTCTCTGCAGCAGCCCTTTCTTTGGCGGTTCTGGAGGGTGACTTCTGTTCAGGTCTGGCGAGAGGGTACCGTTAGGTCCAAATACATTCAGCTCCTTAAAGCATTCTGTTTCTATCATCTGGAGAGGTCGTGCAGAAACGCGGTCCGTCATCGGGGCTGGACGGGGGCCCACCCTCCCCGGAGCCCCCAGCCGTCCCGCCCAGTGGCTCCCGTGGCGGGCACAGCCCCTGCCGCGCTGACCACCTTGCTGCAGCCTCACCGGGAAAACAGGAGCCGCCTGAGGGGTGCACCGGTCTTCCTGCCACCAAACCCACATCCGGCCGCCCGCCGCCCCAGCCTCCCTGTCTTGTTCTAAGCAGCTCTGACCTCTCCCAACTCAGCCTCTTGGGCCTCCGCCAACCGCCTGTTTTTGTCTTCTTTTCCCAGCCAAACCTCTCCGGAGTCACCTCTGCAGCATCTCTGTCTCGATTCCTTTTCCCTCCTGGGCCACTCCAGCCCCGCCCTGCCCTCCCCCAGGCCACAGGGGACGGCCCTGCAGCCTGAGCCGCAGCTCCTCTGCTGTCCTCGTCCCCCCAGCAGCACCGAGGGGCTGACTGCTCCCTGCCTCTCAGGGCAGAGCAAGTGACCACCCTGCTCACCTCGTTCTGCCACGGGATGGGCACGGAGCCCGTGGAGAACTTGGAGTAGAAGTCGTCATCCGTGTGGTCCAGGTTGACGCCCTTCACGGTGGAGAACTGCTCGATGTCCAGCACGTCCTTACAGTACACGGCCCGGGGCTGAGAGGGGGACAGGACGTGGTCACACATGGGTCCTGCCTGCGGCTTTGGTGTCCCGAGAGTGGGCCTTGGGGCTTTGATGGGGAAGCAGAGAAGTGTCTTCCCCAGGAGCTGTACTGCCTTTTCGCAGGCCCGCCAAAGGGACGCTGGCCAGGGTGAAGCAAGAGCTGGGGTGCCCGGACACCCTCTCTAGGGCCCCTTCCTGCCATCCCTCCCGCACACATACCACAGGTCATCCAGGTCTCTCCAGGCTGGGCCACGGGGGAGGTAGGGCACCTCTGTCCCTAAGCCCCCACTCTCGGCACCTCTGGGCATCCCCATGTCTCTGTCAGGTATTCTTGACCCTAAGGCCCACAGAATCAGGAAGGTGGCAACATTCCTAAAGTCATCTAACAGACGAGGGGTTGCACTGGCCACAGAGTGGCCCCTGGGCTCCTCCTCCACAGTTAGAATGAATGCTGGGGCCCTGGGGCCAGAGCAAGGACCCACAGGGGACTCTGCCTTGAGGGGGGCATGCCGCAGCTGGGAGATGGCCGGGGAACATCACCTGCCCCTTCTCCCATGAGAGGGCAGCGGGGGTGGCGGCTTAGCTCCGAGGTCCTGCAGCGAGGCACGCCTGGGCTGCAGTCCCAGCTGGGGTCCTTGAGAACTTTGGGCAAGTCATATGTCCCTCAAGGCCTATTTTGTCACCTGCAAAATGGGGGAAGCACCTGGGCACAGGGCTGTGGTTAAGTGCTTGCTACCAAGCCTGATTGGGAGCTGCTATTAAGGTGGGAACATTTTTATCTCCTGGGCCACCAGGCGTACACTGGGGCCTGCTCTGTGCCAGGGCAGAGATGGGCCTGGCTGGCCCCTGCCCTCTAGGAGGTCAAGGTTGGTGGCTTCCCAGGGGATGTGGGAGCCTGGGGGTCTGGACATGAGGACTTTACAGAGGTGGCTCCAGGCTGGGGACAGAGGGACCATGGCTGCCTCCAGTCTCCTGACATTTGGTTAATTCAAAGTTTGTGAATCAGTCACAGACTCAGCGAGGGCCGCGGGCATGCCAGGAGGGCTCTAGCACTGGTCCCGGGGCACTTTCTGGGGCTTTCCAGTGCTGCGTGCTGTGGCCTCCTGCTTATGGCATATGTAGGAGGCAGTCCCCGCACAGCAAGCCACTGGGCCCAGGTGTGCATGGGCGGCAGCAGGGCGGGGGAGGGGATGTCTTCCTGTGGAGCTACGACTAGTCCTCTGGTCCCCAAAGCCCTGCGCGTGCACCACCTCGGAACTCGGCACACTCAGGAGGCACCAGGGCCAGCCACGTCATTTACAGGCCCCAGTGCAAAAACGAAGAGGCAAGGCCCCATGTTCAAAATTCAGAATGTCATGATGGCAACAGCAGGACACTGAGCTCAGCTCCGGGCCCGGGGTGACTGCACAGGGCAAACCCGTGAAGCTGGCCCTGGGTGGTTCACAAATGAACATTAGAAGAAAGGAAGCATTTAAAAAATCTGCCTAGGAACGTAAGTTTGCCTGGCACACCAAAACGCACCCTTTCGTGGCTATTATTTCCTTGGAATAGTTTCCTTTTAGAATACATTTATTTTTATTTTAAAAAGAGTCAATAGACGTGAAAAAGATTAAGTCGATCATAGCACTGTGGTTTGTGATTGTGGCGGCAGCCCTGGCGGTGGCGTGGGGCCTGGGGCGGGAGGCAGTGGGGTACACCGGTCCCAGGGCAAAGGCCCCAGCTCGCAAGGGCTCCCTGGGCTGCAACCTGCGCTCACCATGCACTCCGCTGATACACGGACGGAGTGGCCCGCCAGCCTGTGGGCCTCAGCTGCCCAGGGACAGGGGTGGCCCGGGGGAGAGGACACTGACCCAGTTGGTGAGCAGCGCTGTGCACACCACGCTGAGCTCCGTGCTGTAAGGGACTCTGCCACCTCGAGGCGGCCAGGGTCGCACCCAGGGTGACCAGCCGTCCAGGTTTGCCCAGGACACAGGACTTTCAGTGCTAAAACCAGCACAGTCCTGGGCAAACAGGGACGGTTGGTCACCCTGACTGTCAGAGCCGCCTCCTCCCAGCCCTGCCGGGCCAGCTCCGCATGCAGCACCCGCCTCTCCCCGCTCTTCCCCTCCCAGGCCTCCTGTTCTTTCCTCTCGGGACTTGTGTTTCTGCTGTTATTTAAGGGCGTTTGCTGACACCTCTCCTCCTCTGCAGACTGTAAGTTCCATGAAGGAAGCAACCAAATGTTGTGTGTCCCATGGGGTCTCCTGGGGCCTGGCACAGGGCCGGGAGTGTGCAGGGAGGTCGAGAAATATCTCCTGTGCCGTGACTAATCTCATCCCATCACCATAGCAACAGGTAGCTCAGAGGCCACAAGGGTGGCCACCTGGGTGTCGACCTTTGCCATACCCCCAGCCAGGGTGCCACCTTTTCCCAATCTAGGGCAGTAACCCAGTGACAGCTGTGACGGGCACCCAGTCCCTCTATGTGGTTTCCAGGGGCACCAGGAGTGGCCATTCCCGAGGCCCTTGATGTAGAAACAAACAACAAATAAACAACAAACTGTGGCTGGTGACATTTCCTAAAACACGGGCGAGTGGCTCTCACACCTGGCTGCACACTACAGTCACCTGGGGAGGCTTTAAAAACTCTGAGGCCCAGGTCTTATCCCAGACTCTCTGGGACTGAATCCAAGATTAGTACTTTTTTCACACTCCAGGGATTCTGAATGGGCAGCTGGGGTTGAGAGCAAATGCCATCCTCAGTACTTTCCTCACCACCCGCTGAAGTTTGTCTGTAGGTCAAGTTTGCAGCATTCGGTGACTTTTACTCTCTGCGTTCTCAGCAGCCCCTTCTTCCCCGAGAAAGCATGCCCTGGTTACCCCCCAGCACCGACAACGTAACTGGCCGGGTGGGGTCAGTGGTGTGATACCCCTAACACCGTCTGCACCCAGTAGGGCCCTGGCTTCCCAGGTCTGCTGCCCTCCTGCCCTGCCCCCGAGGCCCAGGGAATCCCCACCTACGGAGTGCCAGGGACTGTCCCCACCATCCTCCGCACTGCGTTGTGCAGTAAATGTTAACACCTGGCTGTGGGGGAGGGGACAGGAAACCCTGCTTTATAGTAACCGCCTTTGCCGATTGCTGTGGTGTAAATACTCCCCCTGCGTCTGCTGCAGGCCACCATCCTGAGCACAGAATTGGAAGAGCTGTGCATAATGAGCCGTGCAGAAGGAACACAATGACTTCAGCAGCCCCAACCCCGCCAGGGCTGGGTCTCCCAATCTGCAGGAGCTAGGAAGGAGCAGAGGCAGCACAGGCCTTCCTCCCCGACTCCCGACAAACACAGCACAGGCGCCGGAACCGCAGCACACGGGCCTGCCCTGCCGGGCCTGGCTGCCTCGGCCGGAGCTTGAGCCTGTGCCTCACGGACCACGTAGGGGGCTTTCAGGGGCCATCTACCTTAGCTGGGCTCTGGCCTCACGCACTGACGTGGGGACCCCGTGGGGAAGATGCGGCACCTTGGGGTCCCTGTGATTTGGGTTGCTGGGGGAGGGGCCTCGCCTTGTTCATCGCGGGGCCCACTGCACCTGCTGAGCCCCACCTGAACCTAGAGCCACCTGCAGGTGCTCTGTGCGCGCTAGTTGAAAGGGACCGAACGTGGCGGCCCTCAGTGCTCTCAAACACTCTCTCCGTTCAGTTCCCACTTCACCCTCCATCTCTGGGGCAGGTTAGGGGAGTGGGCGTTCCTGGCCTCACTGGACAGGTGAGGGAACCGAAGCTTGGACGGGGTGTTTTGGGCCCCCAGGCCTGGGTGGGTGCCCAAGTCTCGGACAGCCAGAGGGGGCTGCCTGGCTCACACCCATCTGCGCTGCGGGGCGTGAGGTTCACCTGCAGCTTGGGCAGGGACTGGCCTGGGGGAGGGGCAGTGAGCACCCTTCGGTCCCCACAAAGACGGTGGCATGCCCCACACTCTGGGTCAGGATGGGCCTGGGACGCCTGGGAGGGGCGGGGTGGGGTGGCTACTCACGTCTGGAACGAAGGGAGGGTCCAACATCCCGGCTTCTAAGCGCTTGAAGTTCATGTTCCTGAAGAAGGGGTGTCTCTTGACCTCAGCCGCCCCCTCCTCCTGGCAGCCCAGCCTCTGCTTGGCGTCTTTGGTGAGCAGCTGCGGAGAGACAGCGCCCGTGAGGCCCGCGCGGAGCCTCTCCTCCTGCCCGAGGCCCGGAGGCAGAGGAGCGTGAAAGATCTGAGTCCACCGTCCTCCACACGCCTGGTCCTGCGCCTCCCCAACGTCCCGCCTCCGCTGCCCCACCCTGCTGGGTCTGGGCGCAGGGCTGCCCTGCGCCGCGCGAGCGCTTGTGGTCACACGCCCACAGGGAGAGCGGGGATTTCGTCTGCTTCTCCCACGACTGCATCCCTAGTGCCTGGGCACAGCCGGCACCTGTTCACATTTGCCGAGCTGAGAAGGGCGCGGGGAGTGTGCTGGGTGGGCCGGCACAATGGTAGCCAGGGCCTGGGGCTTCTGCTTTTTTCAAGAAAAGCCGGAAAATCCAGCTTATTATGTGAAATTTCCTTTTTTTCTTTTTTGTTGAGACAGGGTCTCTCTCTGTCGCCCAGGCTGGAGGGCAGTGGTGTGATCATAGCTCACTGCAGCCTCAAACTCCTGGGCTAAAGCAATCCTCCTGCCTTGGCCTTCCAGAGTGCCAGGATTACAGTGTGAGCCACCACGCCTGGCCCCTCCTCATTTTTAAATCTTTGTGTGGCTGAACAAGACACCTACCCACGTGCTGCCTGTCTGCAACCTGGCATCAGGTAAATGGCTTGTGACCACGCTGTCACGTAAAGAGTTTGCAACTGTGACTTCAGGTGCACATACACCAGGAGAAGTGAGAGGGAGAGAAGGTGTGGGGTGGGGAGGCTGGGCAGTCACAGTGGGCTTCCTGGAGGAGGAGGATTGATGGGCTGAAGGGCCAGAGGGAGGGGCTGGAGCAGGGTGGGGAAGGCCCAGTGCTGGATTCAGCAGGAGCCTGAGGAAGGTGGAGGCTGAGGTCTAGGCCCAGGGGCTGGACCCAGGGGACAGGGCAGTGGGATGTGAGTATTACTAGACCCTGGGGGAGGGGAGCAGTTCCATGGCTGTCAAGATGGAATCGGGAGGCCAGGCACGGTGGCTCAGGCCTGTAATCCTAGCACTCTGGGAGGCCAAGGCAGGCGATTGCTCAAGGTCAGGAGTTCAAAACCAGCGTGAGACCCTGTCTCTACTAAAAATAGAAAGAAATTAATTGGACAACTAAAATATATATAGAAAACTAGCCGGGCATGGTGGCGCATGCCTGTAGTCCAGCTACTTGGAAGCTGAGCAGGAGGATCGCTTGAGCTCAGGATTTTGAGGTTGCTGGTAAGCTAGCTGACGCCAGGCACTCTAGCCTGGGCACAGAGTGAGACTGTCTCAAAAAAAAAAAAAAAAAAAAAGATGGAATCGGGGATAGGCACTGGGGGACGGGGACCGGCTTCCTCACTGTGGGGCAGTGGCCCTCTCAGGCAGGTAAGGCCGAGCACCCAGAGCCTAGAAGTAGCCCTGAAGGTCTCCTGACAAGTCAGGCCCTGCAGTGTCCTGAGCCCCTGCCAGTAGGAGGGGACAAGGCAAGCCTGGTTGCCAGACCTGAAAGGCTGTGGTTAAGGGCTTGCAGGAGGCTCAAGACCAGAACCCTAAGACTCCAGGGTCATTCATAAGAGAAGACAGAAAAGGTCTCAGGAGGACAGTGGTTTTGGGCCCACGGGCCAGGACCGCACAGAGCAGCAGGCTCCGTGCTGCCCTTCCCACAGTGGCCACCAGGGGGAAGCAGAGGGACAGTAGAGCCCCAGTAGCAAAGCCAGAGTGGGGGACTGGGGCACAGGGTGGGGGTGGGGTCCCCCGCCTCCTTGTCCTCTCAGCACGTCCCTGGTCCCTTGAAGTCTTCAAGACCCACGTCTCTGAATTCCTGACCCTGACCTGGGACATGTGGTGATCCCTGGTCCAGTTGCGTCACTAGATAGATACCTTGTGACGGCGTGGCCACACATCACTGGCACCCTCGTCTCCACGCACCTGGCCTTTACCACCTTGTTCCCCCAGCCACCCACCCCCACCCTGGCTGCGAGGACCCTGCGGATTCCTTGAGGCCCCAGCTGCACCGGCCGCAGGCCACGTGGTTTGGGGGCGCGTTGTGTGTGCACACGTTGTCCCTCCCTCAGGGTCTGTCAGACGTGCAAATGACAGATCTACGTGGTCAGATGGCAGATGCAGCCCTAACGTCTTCCTCCCACTGCTCTACGATGTGAGAGTGACGCTGGTGAGAGGAAGTGGCCGCGCACAGGGCAGCCGGCTGCAGGGGCAGGGCCTCCGGGGCCACAGGCCTTCTGGAGGCAGAAGCTTTGCTACTTTCAATCAGCTCCCTGGCCTGCTAAACTCGGCCTGGGTTGTTCCTGCACACGCCGATTCTGCCCCCAGGCCCTCTGGATCAGAGGTGAGTAGAAGAGCGGCCCCACCTGGGGCTTGGCCTGCCTATCTGCGCTTCGGCTGCAGGGCTGGGGAGAGGAAGTCTGTGGGCTCACAAATGCCAAATGTGGAGCTGGGCGCTCTGGCCCTGCCTGTCCCCACGTGGCTGGCACCAGAGGGCAGCTGCCTGCAGAGGGGTGCCAGCACATCTGTGCCCAGCACCAGGGGAGGAGGCCCCACGGGGCATGGGCCAGACTAGGGAGCCTGAGGGCCAGGCAGGAGCAGGACGTGGCCATCTCCCCGCAAGGCCACTGGCCCTGGTTCCCAAAGGAAGGCCCCGAGGGCCAGCCTGGGCTGGGGGATGGGCAGTGGTCGAGGGTGGACCCCACTCCCAGCTCTGACAGTTACAAAGGCTCCCGCCAGTCCTTCCTCTAACTGGTGTCCCCCACCCAGCCTGTCTAAATGTCACTCCCACGTGCGCCCTGCCCACAGATGGGCCCAATCTCATTGTCCCTAGACGCTGTCGTGCAGAGCCAACCCACGCTGGTGTGACCAGCATTCCGTTTAGTGGACAGAACGTTGTTATAAGATGTTCAAAGACTGTGAAAATACCACCACCTGCCACCTGCAGTCCCTGGGCTGAAGCTGTGCCCTGGGATCCAGAGCCCAAGGGAGCCCAAGGGAGCCCAAGGTCATAGGCAAGGCTTGCCCCAGGCCCTTTGTACCCTGGGCACCTTCTTGGGCTGTCCCTTCTCTGTCCTGTGCTGAAGTCCCCACAACCCCACAAAGCCGGATGTGGGGGTACCTTACGCTGTTCCCCGTTGCCCCTTCCCCAGATTTCTCCTGGAAACCTTCGCTGACCGCCACAGTCCACAGCAAAGAGCGCCGGCTCCTCTGGCTTGGCGGGCTGCAAGGCCCCCGCCCTGGTGTGCGCAGACCCCGGTCCCTTCAGCCTGCTGCTGTCCTGGGGACAGCGGGGGGCAGGGAGGGGAGCTGGAACTCACCATCTTGCAGATGGACTTGGCCTCCTCGGAGAACTTGTGGGAGTACACCTCCTCCGTCTCCAGGACCCGGCGGTCCACCTCCTCCCGCTTCACCTTCTCCTTGCGGCCGCGGAACGGCGACTGGCCCTCGATCATCTCGTAGATGAGGCAGCCCAGGCCCCAGTAGTCGGGGCTCAGGCCGTACCTCTGGTTGTTCAGGACCTCCGGAGCTGGGCACAGAGGAGGGGACGGAGAGCCGTGAGAGACGGCGGTGGCAGGACAGAGCCGGCACCGATTCTTACCCCAGCTGGGCCTCAGGGTGTCCTGCGCCCACGAGTGATGGTGCTGCTCACAGAAGGCCTGGAGTGTCGTGGCTGGGAGACTTTCCCTCCACTGCTCCACCCACAAACTGCCGTAAATACACCTCCTCTAGGGAGCCTTCTGGAAGGACTTTGTGGCTTTGTAACTCTGGCCACAGTAGATGTGAATGTTTTGCTCCCGTGATGTCTCCCGGACTAGAACGTGAGCTACTGTGTTCACCGCTGTGCCCCCAGTAACACGCATGACACCTGGCACAGAGCAGGTACTGTACACATCTGTTTCGTGAATAAAGGTATGTCCATCCAGATTAAAGATTATTAAAAGTGTATCTGGAATTCAAATAACTTCTACGTCTTCTCTGCCGTTTTGACAAAATGACTTATAGGTTCACCGCAGAAGTGCAAAGGAGACAGCTCTGCATCATCTGGCCACACGCGTGTACAGGCAATGCATCCACACGTGCTGGTACGCACACCACAGAGGCTGGGCAGACAGGTGCACGCAACACCGTGTGCGCAAGGAGAGCCGCGCCAATGCACGGGCAGATGTGTACGCAGATGTGCAGAGAGAGCTATCATCCACCCATGCATCCAACCATCCGCCCGCTATCTACCACCTGTGTGTCACCCATCAGCATTTGCACGGGCATGCGTACACTCACGTACACACAGGCACACCCCACAGTTGCCCAATGCCATGCAGACTGAAAAGGACCCTCTAGCACAGGAGACAGGGTACAGAACCCTGTGTATCTGCTGTTGGCACAAGCCTGGCCAGAGGGCAACAACCTCCTGCCCAGGGCCTTCTGGGCCCCCCCTTACCTCCCAGGGCAAGTAGGGGTGTGCAGGAACAGGGCCGGGCAGGGGGATTCTAGGGGACAGACTTAGCTCCAGCCCCCAGGTCGCTGGTCTCAGAGCAGGCGGAGGGGAGGCAGGGCAGGCAGCCCAAGGCCGGTCCCTGCTCAGAATCACGCTTGGTGACGCAGTGGGCTGCGCTCCTTGCATGTTGGGGCCCTTCTGAATGACCTCCCTCTTCTTGGGGTTCCTCCCCAAAGGGCTGTCCACCAGCCCACCCAGACCCCTACACTTCAGTGTGGCCTCCCCCCAGCTGCGCTGTGCGCTCTGGCCACCCACAGTGGCTTGGCACAGGAGGGGCCGGGGCTGCAGAGAGCTCAGCTTGGTCAAGTCACCTGGGGCCCCACACTCCAGCCCTCCCCACCCGCCGCCTGGCTAAGGCCTCCCCCTAGCAGCGCTGTGGGTGACAGCAACTCTGACCAGTGACACACAGAGAGGTGAAGGCTCCGGGCGTGGGCTTGGGGGCGTGGCGTGTGATCAGGGCCCGCCGGGCACTCACCCATGTAGCCGACGGTGCCCACCCGGCCGCGGATCAGCTCTCCCTCGGGGATCTTCACGGCCAGGCCCAGGTCCGAGATCCTGATGTGGCCTGAGGGGACAGCAGGGACAGCAGGGTGAGCAGCTGTGGACACCTGGCCAGGGCCCCAGACCTGCCGCGCGCCCCTGGGCAAGGCATGCGAGCTCTCGAGGTTTCCACCTGTCTGCTGAAGATGGGTACCCCAGTCTGCCTCTCAGGGTGACCACACGTCCCCTGGGCACGGGTGCTAAAGGACGGGGGGCGATGCCTAATTTTTAGGAGTGAAACATCGAGCTGCAGCAGGGTGCCTGGGTCTGGCTGGACACCAGCCAACCCGCCTCATCGAATATCCGAACAGGCTTCTTGGAAGGCTGAGGTCACGAGTTGAAAACATCTTGGCCTGGTTCTGGGATTACTTCATGGGAAAAATGTGAGATTTCTCCTGACATTTTGCAACAATTTGCTTCAGGGGAAAAAATTATAAAGCAATTTGGGAAGCAACTCCCTGACCTGCCTTGTTGGTCTTTGGAGGTTGCTGATTTTTCCCCTTTGGAGAAACGAGGAGGGGAAACGTTTGGCCTGGCCTGGCCGAGTCTAGAGGTGGGATCGGGGCTCACGGGGCAGGGCTGACCCCCAAGGCCGAGACGGACACCGAGCTGAGAGCCGAGCTTTGGCCTTTGTCTTGTCTGCAGCCCGCCCGGTCAGGGTTACAGCCACATCTTACCCCACAGGAAGGAACATGTCGCCTCCCCTTCCCTGCCTGTGGACGCCAAGGCCCCACACCAGCCTGGACCTCAGCAAGGCCCAGCTCCAGAGACCCCGCCAGGCTGGATCTGCGTGGAGTCCCCGGACAGGAAAGGGGAAGGTGTGTGGATGCCAGCTGCCAGCTGCAGGGCATCACGTAGGCTCGGTTCTGAGGCTGCAGGGGACACTGGGCTCGTCCAGAGAGGAGTGGCAGGCCTGGGGCCTCTGCCTGCTCCCACACGTAGCAGCAGCCCACGCAGACCTCACTCCAGGTCACCGGCGACCTGCCTCCCCTTTCTCCCTTCCCTCTGCTAGACGCTCCGGGGGCCTGGGGCCTGCTGGGAGGAGCCCCAGTTTCTGCTCTGATCTCCTCACTAACACTGCAAGGTGACCTTGGCACGCTGGCTCCTATAAGCCTCAGTCTTCTCATCTGTAAAATGGGAATAGGGATGTTGCCCTGCCCCTGTCTGTGCAGCTGGGAAGAGCTAGTCAGATAAAAGATGTGCAAGCTATTTTCCAGGTGCAAAACCCTCAACAGTTGCGAGGGGTCACTGTGGTTGCTCCTGTTACCCCGGGACTCACACCCCAGAGAACACAACCACGGTCATGCTCAAATACCGATGCCCAACACACTTAGAGCTGCTGGTGTCACAAACATTTCCCCTCAAGCTGTCTTGTGGGAGCCTCCCCACCCTCCTCCTCGTAGTGGGCAGGGCAGGACGCGTTTGCATTTCACAGAGGAGATAAGGTGCAGAGAAGTTGCTGGAAGGTTAAGCATCTGCCCAGCCTCTCTGGAATTCTGGACGCCTCATTCTCTTAATGCTGCCTGTTCACCAAGCAGGAGATCCGCCCATGCCACTGCCTTCCCTGGGTGCCCTGGGCCCGGGGTCGGCCTCCCCGGGAGGCCTGGGAGGCGCTCGGCTCTCCGTGGGTCCCGGTGCTCACATCAGCTACAGAGCAGGCAAAGGGCCTCCCTCGACTTACCGTAATCGTCTAACAGGATATTTTCAGGTTTCAAATCTCTGAAAGGGAAAAAACAACGAGCATCAGAGTGTGGGCAGCCCGGGCAGCGAGGACATAGTGGCATCCGGGTTGACCTCCCTGGGCCAGCCAGGCCTGCGCAGCCGCAGGGTGTTGCCTTCCCGCCCCCAGGCTCAGGCTGTCTGGTCTCTCTCTGAGTCAAGATGATCTCCAGCTAATTCCTCTCCTTCCAGTAATTTAAAACAAAGGCAGCTGCTTGCCACGAGCATCTTCCCAAGCCTGGGGAACGCTGGGACGGTTAGGAAAATGCCAGTCCTGGCACCTGTCTGCCCATCAGCGGCCCCCAGGGCTGCGAAGCCCCGAGGTCTTAGGAAGCCCCGAAGGCAGAGCGGGGCCTGGGAAGGAGGGAAGAGAAGTTACTGAGAACAAGGCACCAGCTGTACAACTGGGAAGATGGCATTGTAGGGGAGAGGAAGGGGCCCCCAGGAAAAGGACCCCCTTCGGGATGGGGCTCCCAGGAGAGTGGCACACCCCCCAACTCTAGCTACACTACAGTCTTGGAGAAAGCATGGCCAGAAGCCACAGCTGTAGGTGTGACTGCCCCATCCCTCCCTAATGTCTCTTCTCTTTGATGGCAGGATCTCGCACAAAAGAAAGGAAACCTCTGTATTCCCGGGGTGCGGGGGAGGCCACAGAAGGGTCTGGTTTTACTAGTAAAAGGTTTTCCCTATGGACAAAAGAACAGCCCAGAGGACAGTGTGTGCAACTCAGTCAAGCCTTGGGGCAAGCAGAACATGGGATCTGGATAGAGGCTCCGGTTTTCAATTAACAGGCTTTGTTTATTTAACTGATGGCAGCTGTCCTCCTGGGGCACGGCTAATGTACCCAAATCCAGTGGGCTGGCCTCACAACACGATAATTGGTGTCTATGTGTACTTGTATTTATTACAAAATACATCTGTTGTTGTTGTTATTTAACTTGCATTCTTTTGATGTGTTAACAATTCTAAATATGGGCAAGAGCCATCATCCCAATGACCCAGGGGTCACCAGGTTGGAGTGACAGCTCACTAGCGGGCACTGGCCAGAACCAAACCCACGGAGCGGCCTGGCCGGTGGCCAGGGCCAGGGAGGTCGCACCGAGCTTCTCTTTCTCCCTAGAAGAAGAGGAGCTGAAACTTGGAGGTTCTGTTTCCCTTTTTCTTCCTTTCTTTTCTTTCTTTTTTTTTTTTTCAGTGAAAGGCAATCAAGTGGCGGCATCTTTATTCAAAACTTAGGAAAAATTTCCTGACTCTCTTTTCACTTGAATGAAAACAAAACAAAAGCACCGGGAGACAGTATGGGGGAAGGGCATGTCCTCAAGATCATTCTTTCTTTCAAAACGTTCTTGGGCTCCCAAGAGGAGGAGGAGTTCGACCAAAAAGGTCTTCAAATTGGGGTGCATGTGCGGGGGGGGGGGGTGGCTGAGACTGTCGGGGGTTCCCACCTGCCGGCAGTTGTAAGGGTATGGGTTTCTTGACATCATAGTGTCCTGCCAACTCTTGGGATGCCATTTCTCACCAACTCTTCTCCCAAGTTACAGGAGAAAAGCAGGCTCCTCCCTCCTGAGTGTTACCATAGCGCCTGTCCTAGGTGTAGAAACCCCCAGGGCCCCGAAGGACCCATCAGAAATGAGATCTACTATAACACTGATAATTATCATGCTGACTTGACAGAAGAAATTGTTTTAACACTTAGAGCCTTCCGGTCAAAGGGAATTTTTTAAAAAATTGTATATCTATCCAAGTATTTGTGTCATGTATCCTGATCAATGACTTTTAGGCAAAAAGATATATATATATATATATCATTACAGGAACATCCCGTGGGGAGCAGGGTGTGGGGAAGGAAATGACAGACAATCTCTCGCCATCAAAGAGCGTTTCAGCCTTTCTAAGATGAACGATGGTGGAAATCAATTTGCCACAGCAACTGGAATCCACTGGACCCCTCAAAGAGTGTGATATAACCGTCCTATTTCAAAATATCAATATTTGCCAAGATTTAAAGACATGATGGAGTATGGCAAATGTCTACTTAAAGCGTAGAGGAACACAGAGATTCTCAAAATTCTTCGAGGGGCACCGTGAGCAGGATCTGGACGCCTGGCCCCACAAGGTCCAGGCCCCTGTGCCACTGGCCCTGCCCAAGTTTCCCTGGGGCCTGCTGGGCTCCGGGCGCCGTGTGGGACTTGGAGGCGCTGGCCGTTTGGGGAGCATCACTCGCACTCGCGGTGTCCCTAAGCGTTGGGGGCCGGAGAGCAACTGGCCTCATGGCCTCGGTTGCGGGGAGCCCTGGGGCTCCAGGGGTGGGGGGTGCTGACTCCTGCCCTGCCCTGGCGCCGACCAGGCCTGGCTCCCCGCGCAACGAGGACCGCCGCCCGGGCAGCGCCGCTCACCTGTAGACGGTGTTCTCGCGGTGGAGGTCTTCCAGGCCGCAGAGGATCTCGGCCGCGTAGAACAGGGCCCGCTCCTCCTCGAAGCCGGGGTTGCCCATGTTGTAGATGTGGAACTTGAGGTCGCCCCCGTTCATGATGGTCAGGACCAGGCACAGCGCGTCCTTGGTCTCGTAGGCGTAGGCCAGGTTGACCTGGGGGCGAGAGTGGCCTGGTGAGCTCACGCGCTTCCGCTTTCCCTCCTCGGGATGCTCGGAGCTGGGGCGGGCGGGGGGAGGGCAGCCTAGCCCGTGCCCCGCACCCCAGTGGCCTTGGGGACCAGCCCGCTGCCCCTCACAGCAGCTGCCCCATTCAGTGCTGGAGGTGGGGAAGTGGCAGGTGGGGCAGGCCAGGGACCCTAACAGGACCCTAAAGGACGGCGTCTGCCTTCACTCCAGGGAAGCACGTGTGTGCCGCAGCTGGTTACAGCGGCGTGTTGCCTGGTGGCCAGTCAGACAGCAGGGCGGGCTGCCCACGGGCTGCGGGGCTCATCCCTGCAGGAGCAGGGGGCCGCTGGGAGTGGAACAGAGCCTGCAACGACTCTCGCACGCAGGACACGCCTGGTCCCCCGTCAAGGGGCCCCGGCAGAGCCGGGTCCAGGCCGTTGCTGGCGGAGCCCAGGCACCCGAGGCGTCGAGGTTGAGGCCACAGGAGTGGGTGACTTGAGAAGCGAATGACACTGCGAGGTGATCCTTCTCCACTTGGGGGTCTGCACAGATGAAACCCGGCCTCCACGGACCAGCTGCGGACAGCCTGGGCCACAAAACTTGCAGGTAAACATCAGGACCACAGAAGTTATATTTGAGGAAAGGAGACAGGACGGCAGCCAAGGGTGAGTGAGCTCATGGGGTCGCGCTGTGGGGTCGCGCTTCAGTGCTGGCTGCCACAGCGGAAGAAGGGCTCCCAGAGGTGTCCCCACTGGGACAGTGGACAGAACACGGCCAAGGAGTGTCGAGCCATCAAAACTGAAGGCCCTCGAAGACGGGCCACCCAGCTTAGCCAGGCACGCGACCCTTTTCCCTGAGCTGGCCTGCCGGCACCGCCCCGGCAAGAGCCGGCACTGCCCCTTCTGGGCTGGACGGGCGGCCTCGAGGCAGCCACCAGTGGTCTCTGTTCAAAGGGACTGGTGGTGGGGAGGAAGGTTCTGGACTCCAAGAGGCCTAGGGCCAAAGCTGGCTGGGGTTACCCTTGTCCACCGCCCCTTGCCCGGCACGACTGCCCCGCCCACACCGTCACCCTGGACACGGTGGGAAGCTGGGGGCAGCCTGGGACGAGAGCCAGAGACGCAAACTCCTGTCCTCTTGAATGTCACTTTGTGCCCCGCCACCGCCCCCAGTAAGGACGCAAGCACGGGCATTCCACCTCCCTGGGCAGGGCCGGCTGCCTCCGCAGACCGCCCCTTCCCGGGTCCCGTCGCCAGGAGGGAGCCGGCGCCAGCCACGCACGCGCTCACCACAAACTGACTGTTGACCTTCTCCAGGATCTGCTTCTCGTTGAGCGCCATGGACTCCCCTTTCCGCTTCTTGATCCTTTTCTTCTCCAGGCGCTTGCAGGCGTACATTTTGCCCGTGGCCCGAACCTGGCAGGCGCAGACCTGAGTTGCAGGAAAGAAACCTCGGTGACAAGAGCACTGTGGAGGTCTGTCCCAATCCCCCCGGGCCACAGACAGGGCCAGGGCCAGCCGCGCCCGGCCTTGTGGGAGCTGCAGGCCCAGAGGACCAGCGATGCCCAGCCTCGGGCCCACAGCCGCCCTGGCCCGCACCCTGGGCTGGCTTCGTGCCACCTTGCCCTCCCCTCCCCCTGGGGGACTCCTGGCCCCTGAAGGTGCAGAATCAGCCATTCGCTCTGATGTTTAGATGACCGGCCAGGGCCCCAAGTACTGTCCCGTTTTTGGGGCAATCTGATTTTCCCAAGCGGCTGGTACAGAGGTCCGGTTTGGCGGTCAGGGATGGGGGACCCTTGGAACCCTGACTTTATAATTCAGAGAAGTGGGAACCAGGGTGCTTGGCCTCAAGTCTTAGTTCTGCTCCTTATTGGCTGGGTCACCTGACCATTCTGAACCTCGGCTTCCCTCGTCTCTAATGAGAATGCCGAGGCTTGCCCCGTGCACTGGGAGGATCGGGTAACCCTCGAGGAAATCTCTAACTCTGCATGACGGCATCATCCAGACACATAAGTGGCCACAGTCGCTCAGCTCCTCATGCCCTCACTCCTCCCTCCCCAAACACAACCAAGGGTGCCCATGTGTCCCCTCCGGGCTGGGTCCCTGACTGTAGCTGGCAGGGAAAACACCTCCATCTCACCTGCCCTGCTACAGATGGCCTCCCACCTGCCCTAGACCCACGTGACACGACCCTCGCCCTCCCTCACTGCTGCCATGGGCAGGGGACCCTGCCTAGAGCCCTTCAGGCCAACCCAGAAGGGACAGGACAGCCGATTAGAGTACAGGAACTTCCATTTGAAAACAGGGTGCTCACTCACCTCCCCGAAGCCCCCCTTTCCTAGCACTCGATACTGCCTGAAAGTGTTTTTGGTCACCGGTTGCCTGGAAAAAAAGCAAGAATCCAAGGTTGGTTGCATGTTATGAGATTCAGAATCCATAAGAAATTGACAAGAGCCCCACGGAAAGCAGCCGGCGACCACAGCTGCAGCCCTTGGGGATCCCCAGGAACCAAGGCTGCAGACGGGGCCTTCAAGGACTTGCTCTGGGGCTGGGCGTTCAAGTCCCAGGCCACCACCCTGGGCCCCTGCAGGCTGGGGGACGGGCAGTGCTCGCCTGCTCGGAGGGCAGAGCGGAAGGTGGGAAGAGTGGGAGTCCCAAGTTGCCCGACCACATGTCCGTGCGGCTGCCCTCTCTCTCCCAGGTGCAATCACACGGTGAGGCTCAGAAGAAAGCCGTGTCTTCCAGGCAGGGAGAGGGGAGGGCCAGGAGCTGCAGAGGATCGTCCCACAGAGGACACGAGGAGACGGCACCCTCCCGGCGCTGCACACTGGGCCCGTCCTGTCCCTCCGCGCTGGCGCTGCCCTGGGAAGACCTGGCCTCGGCAGGGGCAACGGCCGACGGTCTCCAAATCGCGTCCGGTGATCTTTAACCATCGGTTGGTCCCAACATTTTCACTGCCGAGGACCCTTTTGTTATATTTCCCCCATAGATCCAGAGCACTGGAAGATCCCATCTATCAAAATTGGTATTCATGAAGTAACAATTACCTTGTGTCTCCTGATTCCTCAGTTTTTTGGGTTTTTTTTTTTTGTTTGTTTGTTTGTTTTTGAGACAGGGTCTCACTCTATTGCCCAGGCTAGAGTGGTGTTGGCACAGCTCATAGCAACCCAAACTCCTGGACTCAAGTGATCCTCTTGCTCATGCCACAATGACTGGCTAATTTTTCTGTTTTTTGTAGAGACGAGGGTCTCACTCTTGCTCAGGTTGGTCTCGAACTCCTGACCTCAAGAGACCCTCCTGCCTCAGCCCCCCAGAGTGCTAGGATTGCAGATGTGAGTCACTGTGCCTGACTTCGCTCCTCATGGCAATTAGCCAAAGCCATTTACAGCGTCCAGTCAGACAGAACTCCGAGCATGAGGCAAGGACGGTACTTCTCGGAGCAAACATGGTCATCTTATCTAGTTGCAGCAAAGGACGCCACGGTGCACACGGCTCTCGTTTCCATCGCTGGCCTGTCTGGCCTCAAATAATCAGCTTAAAATGTAAAAAATTGGCTCTTGGTTCTCCCGGACTATTTCTGAGCACCCCGTCCTCCATCCCCCCCCACATGAGTCCTGACCAGGGCTGGGGGCGGATGGAGACTGAATTGGGCCAAAGAACCGGGTCGGCTTGAGAATGGCCGGTGAGCCTTAGGTCCCCCGGCAGCTCCTGAATGCACGAATCTTCCACGGACATCCTTGTCGCTGCTGGGACTTCACTGGAAATCACGTCTTTGGCACCACGGCCGCTCCTTTAGGACAACCCTGGAACCCAGGGCTCCCTCGGGCACCCCAGCCTCGAACCGCACACAGTGACACACAGTGACTCTGGCTGCTGGGGTGTTCTCGGGAAGCACAGAGCTGTCCCTCTGCGGGGCTCCCGGCGCTCTGGTCTTCCTAACGCACAGGCGCAGCCGGGCGGCCCCGGGGACTACCTGCCAGGCGCCGGCACCCGCCAGGCCGGGAAGCCTTTCCTGCAGCCGCCCTCGAACCACAGGAAGGCGGCGGCCCGACGGCTCACCGCACGTGGAGGACAGACAGTGGGTTGGCACCACCGCAGAGCTCCTCCGCTAGGGGAAAGAGTGTAATGCAATTTCCCAGGAATTTCTTGGTTAACCTTGTGAGGGAAAAAAATCCCTTTAATATTTCAACAGCACAGCACTCACGGGCCACGATCTTGTTTGCAAGAAAAAAAAAATGGTGGGGGGAGGGGGGGAGGCAGGGTGCTTTTGCAGTCATTCAGGGCATTCCTAGGCCACGGTTCTATCCCACTGGCTTCAAAAACTTCATGCTTTCAAAAGGGTGAACTCAAATCCTTTTGGTCAGTGCATGGGTTAAAAATGCCCATTTCTCCATTTCACGTGCTTGGCAGAGACAAGATGAAAGCCAGTGGCCACAGCCATCGAATTCTATTGGAACTGGAGCTCTGGTGGACTAGGGCCCAAGGGCCTGAGTGAGGACACTGGGCTCGGGTTCCAGCCTTGCCAGGCCCTTGCTGTGTGGCCCAGGGCCCACCTGTCAACCTCTCTGAGCCTTGCATCTTCAGTAAAATGGAGGTGATAAGAAGGCATAGGCACTCATGGAGGGCTCTTCGTGAACTGTTGCTGTGCGTGTCAGAGGTCATTATTAGAACGCCTAGGAATAAAGGACGTGACCCCCTCTGGAGCCCATGTGCACCAGTCTCAGGAGGTGGGGCTGTCACTGTCCCCATTCTGCAGATGAGAACACTGAGGCTTCCAGGGATGAAGTGAGTAGCCCGAGGCCCTGGCTGGAACGTGGTGGGGCTGGGGCTGGGGTCCAGGCAGCCTGAGCACACTGCCACCCTGGGGAGGTGGGCACAGATCAGGGCCAGGGCTCCAGAGCAGGGCATGGGGCACGGTGAATGCAGCCCCACTGACTGTCCTGTGAGTGGCAGAACCAGGACTGGGCCTCCAGCAAGAGCCTGCTGCTCCTCCGGCACCAGACATGGCGAGGTGAGGATGACAACGGTGATGCTGACGACTGATCGTAGTGACAGCCACAGCGGCAGCCAGCAGTTCCCCTCCTGCGGCCACACGGCCGAGCTCTGTTGATGCCTGCCGTGTTCCTGCACGTGCTCCCCTGATTTCGTCCTCACCCCCAACCTCCAAGGCAGGCGCTGGAGAGGTGAGCGGCCCTTCCCCGGGAAGAGGCAGAGCCTGGGGGCTCCGGTGCCCTCAGCAGGATGTCTGGGCTGATCCTTCACTTTGGGCCTCCAGGACACGTGATGTGGCCAGCGGTGGTCAGTGGCCAACAGAGAAGGCCACGCTTGGTCACTCTTTCAGCCCCACCGGTCAGGGTGGAGAGAAATGGCCCATCCAATGGCTGCATAGCAGGGCGTTTTCCTGCTGGGCTTCCCGAAGTAAGTAGGGAGGGCTGCGGATGGGCCTTTGGGGACTCCTGTCCCGCAGCTTCCTGAGCACCAGAGGGGACTCGGCCAGCCGTGGTGCTGACATGCAGGCAGGAGCGGGGGGCCTCCTTGCTCTCTGACCCATGTCCCTAATGGTCGTGAGTGCCAGGCCTCCGGGGACAGGGGCCCTGGGCTCCCACCCTCAGCTCCCAGCTTAGCCTGGCATGGATTTAACACAGGCACTGCCCCGTTCTGCAGACCCTGGGCTGGGGTCCTGGGCTGGGGTCCTGGGCCAGGCCCCCCGGCTTCACAGGGGAGTACTTTGAAGAGAACGAGGCAGCAAACAAAATAGGAGAAGATGCTCAGCCGCACCCACTATTAGAAAGACAAAAAATAAGCACTGAGAGGCCGGGCGCGGTGGCTCACGCCTGTAATCCTAGCTCTTGGGAGGCCGAGGCGGGCGGATTGCTCAAGGTCAGGAGTTCAAAACCAGCCTGAGCAAGAGCGAGACCCCGTCTCTACTATAAATAGAAAGAAATCAATTGGCCAACTGATATATATATATAAAAAATTAGCCGGGCATGGTGGCGCATGCCTGTAGTCCCAGCTACTCGGGAGGCTGAGGCAGAAGGATCACTCGAGCCCAGGAGTTTGAGGTTGCTGTGAGCTAGGCTGACGCCACGGCACTCACTCTAGCCTGGACAACAAAGCGAGACTCTGTCTCAAAAAAAAAAAAAAAAAAAAAAAGCACTGAGGACACCCCGCTGCTCACTCACTGGGTCGGAAAACCCAAGAACAATGTTGGTGAAGCCGAGAGGGAGCTCAGGCACCGGTGGGACCAAGGGGGCAGCTGCGTGGGAGACAATTCAACAGCCCCACAGTTTACAGTCAGGTGCCTTTTAACCAGAAAGTCCTCTGCTAGGAATTTGTATGTCTGTACTTGCAAAAGTACGTAAAGATTTATGTACATGCTATTCACTATTTAGGGAAGGTTGCTCAGAGAATGTAGAACAACCCCATTGTCCACCAACAGGGCACTGTGTCAAATAAAGGATGTGCACCTATTTCAAAGAATATTCAAAGGCTCTTTATTTTGCTGGTGGAGAAAGAATTCTCAAAGACAGGGAACCAAAAAAGTAACAACAGTATGCCATATGTGTGGATAAATGAATATCTGTGTGTGTGTGTGTGTTTTCATAAGCATAGAGCCTTTCTAGAATACACAAGAACTTAATTAACAGGAGGAACACAGTCCATGTTATTTTAACCTTGAGCCCATGGGAGGTAACTGATTTTTATGTAAGTTCTCAGATGAACAATCTGTTTACCGCCCCTCTGCCTCCCCATCCGTCCGCACGCAGGCATGGGGGTGGGGGACTCACCTCTCCAGCCACTTCCACTGCAGGAAGCGGTCGAAGTACATGCTGTCCAGGTATTCGTGGAACGGCTCTCCCCTCAGGTAGTCATGGACGGACCTAGCTCAGAGGGAACAAAAGGAGAACATTTTATAGCCTTGGCCTTGGAGTAGACGAGCAGGGCTGTGTCCAGCAGGTTAGCGCCTGGCCTCATCCACTTCCAGGCTTTGCAGATGCAAACACACACGGCCTCGCAGCCGATGCAGACGCGGATGCCAGAGGTGCTGTCGATTTATGAAGGTCGCCTGGAATTGGTTGATCCTGCAAACATTTACTGGGTACCTGCCACGTGCTGGCCATCGTTCTAGGTCCTGGGATGCAGCTGTGAGCGTGGGGCTGGCATCGTGTGGGGACACAAATCATAAATAACAAACATATACTCAGAGTTGTGTCATCACGAATTTGAGTTAGGGGAGGCTGTCGGGGGTCAGGCAGGCTGCTTTGACGAGGGGGCCCTTGAGCTGAGAACAGATGAAGGCCTCACGAGGTGCAGGGAGGACCTGCAGGTGGTGGGGGCAGGCTCCGGATTTGGTCCGGGACCAGCAAAAGCCACTGGGAGTGTTTCACGCATGCAGTAGAATTTGCTGGTCACTTGCGGTGGCCAGGTGCCAGGCTGGGCCCAGGGTGCTGGGGACCCTATCAGACTATCAGCGCAGGGCCCGGCAGGTGTCCAGGCCTGGCTACAGGCAGGGATGGGCTTCTTCCCTTCCACAAGTGGCCTCGCTGAGCAATCCAGCCCAGGCACTTGGGGCCTGGAGAAGGGAAGGGAGCCGGCAGCACGTCGGAGGCCGAATCCTTCCAAACCCAGAGATGGGCCAGTGTAGGGGCCCAGGGGGGCCATTCAGTCGGGGTCAGGGTCACTAGCAGGATGCCACCACTGTCAGATCTGACTCTCGGCCGGCTCCAAGAGAGCAGCACCCAGGCTGGCTTCTGCCCACCGGGGCCTTTCCCAGCACCTAACACGGGGCTGGGCCCCCCTGACCTCCCGGCTCTTCCCCCAGTGCGTGTGGGTCGCTGGTTTTCTTGTGCAAGCTCCACAAAAGCAGGATTGGGCTCCTGCTCACTTCGGTATCCCCCAGTAACTAGCACAGTGCCAGGTACACAGCAGGTTCTCAAGGGACACCTGTGGTGCTGAGTAAGGTGCAAAAAAAGCCCCCAGGCTCATCTAGCTGTGTGGAGTAACCTGGCTCCAGACAGTTCTTGGCATGTATGTGCTTGCATGTGCTGGCATGGGCATGTGTGTGCACTTGTGTGTATGCAGGCCGGGGTGGGAGCTCAGCTGGTGTCCGCCAGAGCACACACACTGACATGCCTTGGGGCAGGTGCTGGCCTGCAGACAAGGTGATAGAGTGGCTGGGAAGGCCCCTCCCCCTGCGCTGGCTCCACCGGCTCCGGCTGGTGGCAGGGTGGGGGTTGGGGCTGGGAAGGATTCCAAACCACCAGGCAGGGTCAAATTTTTACACATTCCTCTGTCTCAACAGCCTGGAGAGCCACTTGCTTTCAACACCCTTTGAAGCAGATGTTTTCTTTGGACTTGGCACCTTGGTATCTTTTCCCCTTCGTGGGAAATATACAAACAGTTGGGTAGCTTGCCTGGGGTCCTCGGGCACATGCCCCCGTGCCCCGAGCTGCTAGGTGGAAGGCTAGAGGCAGCCACTCCCCAGGCCCGGCCAGGGCAGGGCAAGGGTCTGGGCACTTACCGTGCACAGGCAGAAAAGAGTTCCTTGCTCGGCCTCTGCAGGAGCTTCTCCTCCGTCTGGGAGACCAGGTCTTGGCCGACTTGGGCGATGAAGACTGGGGACTGGAGGCAGGAAGGAAGGGGGTGGTCAGTGAGCAGGGAGGAGCAGTGCACACACCCAGGGTGCCCGCCGCCCCTCCTGCCCACACCTGCCCTGGGCCAAGTGAACCCTGTTCAGTGGTGACAGGAGGAGGCTGGGCTGCAAGGTTAGGAACAAGCCCAGACTCAGGGTGAGACTGGCTCTGCCACTTACAGGCTGTGTGACCCCCTGGAGGCCACTTGGCTCCTCTGAGCCTCACTCCTCATCTCCATAGCATTGAGGATGATGGTCCCCGAGGCCCGTGCTCAGAACTGACAAGGTGCACCAGTGCCCACAACTGTGAGGAGTGGTGCAACGTGGCCCAGCTCATCCGCAAGTCCCAAGCAAGCTTGGTGACGTCCCTTGGCCACTCTGGGCCTGTTTCCTCTGAGGGCAATTGTGAAGATGAACAGCCCATTTGGAATGCACACAACGGAAGGCTTTGTAGGGGGCGGGGGGCTCAGGCACTGTGTGCACACAGCTGTGGAGCCGGGTTTGAATCCCAGATCTGCTACTTGCAGCTGCGGGACCTTGGTCTTAACTGCTCAGCTTCTCTCTCTTATCAGAGATAATCAGAAATAATTTCTCCCGGAATGATTCAATGAAACCTTCAGGTAAAGCGTTTGGCCCAGATGGTGGCATGGAGTAAGCGTCAAATAAAAGTCACTATTGTCGTTCTCCTTCTAGGTTAAGCTGCTGGCCTCAGTATTTCAAGTTTGAGAGGACAGTTCTAGCAGTTTCTCCATCCCACCCAGGAACAGCGGCTACTTCCGGAAGGCGCAGGGACAGGCAGAAGGCAGCTCCACCCAGGGCATGCCTCGCCCACCCCTCCCCTTCCCCCCAATCACCCGCCACCAGCTGTCCCTAGGGGCTGACTCACCAGCTGGGCTTCGAGATGGGTTTTTAATAAATTACAGGGATAATTGAGAAAATTGCTGGGAGTGGGCTCAGAAAGACGGGCGTAGACACATCTTTCTCCCCAAAGGATGCTGAGATCTGAAAGGCTTGCTTTCTCTTCCCAGCTATTGAAATGTGACTATGGGGCTGATTGCATTGCTAAGTCCGCTGGGCGGTTTCTGTGGGGGGTTCGATCCTGGGGGGTGGAGGAGGAGCCCCGGTGGCAGCAGCTGGCGTGTCCCTGGTGAATGAAATCAGTGGCTCATTTTCTATTCCCCAGGGTTCTGAATGCCCAAATCCCTTCCTTCCTTCCTTCCTGGTTTCTTTCCTGGACCTGGCCCTCTCTGCAGGCTCAGCCCTGCCCTCAGGGTCCCCCTCCTGAGCCTGGCCAGAGGGTCTCCAGCTCCTTGGGGTGGGGGTGCCTCAGGTGTGGGTGTGACGTGATGGTAAATGCCACCCACCCAAGTGCAGGCAAGGCCACGAACCCCAATCGGAGGGCTCCAGCCCATCTCCACAGTCGCCATCAGCTATCCTGGGTGGTGGCCGCTCCCCTCCACCATCTGTCCCACTCTGCTTTGGACCATCCCTCCCTCTCCACATTAAAAACTTGATGAAGGAACAAGACACAGAAAAGCAACCTGTAGAGTGCTGGCCCTAACTTGTGCAGAAAAGATGCTCAGTGTTGTGTTTCTGCTCTGGGTGAAACTCATCCATCGACCCAATATTTAAAACCTATAAAAATAATTTAATTGGAAACAACGGTCTACATACATTGAAGGCTAACTGTGCTCAGGTATTGTGCCAAACGCCTTATGTGTATCATGTCATTTAATGTTCATTATGGCCCTCTGAGGTGGGTATTACTATGACGCCCATTTTGCAGATGAGGAAACTAAGGTTCAGAAAGGTTAAGCAATTTCCCCAAGGTCACCCAGCCAGTAAGTGACTGGGGGAGGATGTGAACCCAGGTTGGGTGACTCCTGAGTAAGATCAGGCTGGAGGGGGTGGGCTGTCCGGGCCACCTGTGACCCTCTCATCCCCTTAGAAGGCCCCTGAGGTGTGACCTTAGCCCCTGGGGCCCCACAGAGCCCAGTGTGCGAGCCAGGGTGTTGCTGAGTCCTGCAGCAGAGGCAGGTGACGCAGCTCAGAGAAGGGCGAGCTCACCATGGTCCTGGGTCGTCTGGGAAAGGCTCCGTGGCAGACTGAGTGAGAGGCCAAGTGGAATTTGGCCCCAGGCCTCCTGCCCCTCACTGGCCGCACTCCACCGGCAGGCAGGATGGGAGGGGCTGCCCCAGTCCACAGTGACCCAGCTGTGTGCATGAAGTCACACTGCTCTGGCTTGGCTGGCAGCAGGGCTCTGCCCACAGGCAAAGCCCTAACAAGGGAGTTAATGAGCAGATAATAATGCATTTGGCTGCACTTGAAGAAGTTAAGCGATTCCAACCAAATCCCCTTTCAAGTGCCTCCAGGGAGGACATCTTTGCCAATTAGACCAAGAAGCCGCTGGCCAGTGTCGGTCTGGAACTGAAGCCCACGCCTGCCAGGAGGGTGAGGGGCGAGCAGGTGCTCAGCGGATGCCGCAGTCAGACGCTACCATTTGCATCAGTGGATGGGAGCATGTCCGGTTCAGAGAAGGTGATGGCAAAGGGGACCCCGTGAGAAGGCCCCACAGCCTGCACAGCCTCGGCTCAGCACCTGCGATCCACCCTCTGGGTCTCCGCAGGCACTAGTTCCTGCGGTTTCACATCCCTTTCCAGGAGGCCTGTGGGGCTTGCTGGGAAGGGGGTGTACCCTACAGGCCGGGGGGGCTCTGGGCAGAAATGTGACCCTCACTCCACGTGTCAGGAGAGCTGTGGCTGGGCAGTGCTGCAGCTCCTCCTAGCAGAGACTGTCCCTCTGGGATGAAGCTGAGGGTCAGGGTGGGGAGAAAGGACAAGGCTGTGCTCTTCCCGTCAAAGATGTCCCTCCAAGATCTAACCAAACAGGTACCCAGGGGACAGGGCCTCCAGGCACATGGACATCTGCAGGGGTGAAGGCGGCCAGGAGAAGGGGTCTTGGTGGTGGTCTTTGGTGAAACTCCCCCAGGGTCCTGGGACTAGCCCAGGCCAACAGTGCTTTACTTCTTTGGTCACCAGATGGTTTCCTCTAATGGCCCTAGCTGCAGACCTTGACTTAACGCAACAGTGTGGATTTAGGCACCAAGGTTCCCTTGAACGGCACGAAACCAGCTTTTGTGGGTGGCACAGCTTCCAAGGCTGCAGGAAGGACCGGGACAGGGTTTCTCTGTCCCAGGGGCCCCACCGTGAACGCCCACCCCTCGACGGTCTCGGCAGCAGAAGTGAACTGGCTGGCCAACCTCGGCGTGACGAGCCTGCCTGGTCCCGTCAGAAAGTCCACTCTGATGACCCCCCGCTGTCCCCGAGGAGGGTCTGTGGCCACCTCTCCTGGGCAGCTTAGGAGAACAGGACAGGCCTTGGGGACGCTGCTGTGTATGCCTGGGGTGCTGGCCGGAGCGCTCTCTCCCTTGGCTGCCTCGGGGACCTGTGGGCTGCCTGGCATGCTGGGACCTCCTCCTGGCCCCTTCTCTTCCCCACTGCAGCTGGGGACAAGCGAGGTGGCATTACTCGTGGGGGCGCTCTGCCTGCTCCCCGAGTCTGTGCCTCTGGATGCAGCTCCCTTCACCGGGAGGGGGAAGAACCTGCTCCACGGCCCCCCTGCCCGTCCACCCCCGATGGGAAACTAGCATAGAGTCCACGTCCTGCACCAGAGGAACCCAGGGCCCGCTCAGATGGGGGCAGGGCCGCCGCAGTTCCAGCGCGTGGGACAGAGGGTCTGTCACTCTGCCTTGGCGGCCCTGACTACTTGCTCCTTCTCATCACCTCTTCCCTCCAGCCCGGCCCTGCTCTGCTGCTCCCGCTGCTTGCGCCACCAGTTCTCGAGACCCGGGCAGCTCGTGGTGTCCGTGTTAACCAGGACGGACCTCTCCGGGCAGCCAGACGCTGCAGAGCTGTTTCCGGGCACTGCAGGGCTGTTTCTGGGCACTGCAGCGCACTGAGAAAAGCCCTTCCCGCCACTTTGGACACAAGCAGGGCGGGCCCCGAAAACGCACGACAGGGCCCAGGGTGGCCTTCGTACCTCTCTAAGCCCCTCTCCTCCATTCGTCCTCATCTCACGCGTCCCCCCCCCCCCGCTGTGACCCTGAACCCCAGCAGCCCCCCCCCCGTCAGACCTTTCTCATCGTCTGCTGCGTGAGAACAGAAACCTCTGCAATACTCAGGCCTGGCGGGTGACATACGACGACCAGGAACGACTCCACACAGGGGAGGCCTGGGGACGTCTAACGAGGAGACAGTCGGGCTGGTGGCCGGGCTGGATGGAAGGGTCGGGCGCTTGTCCTGACGCTGCATTTGTGTGGTGGATTTACGGAGCTTTGGGTGACTTGTCGGCAAACGGAGTGACATACGGAAAGGCTGACCCCTCCCAGTGCCCCTTGGTACGACAACTGCTCAACCCCTCACCCCTCCCCGGTCATAATCACAGCTTCACAAGAGCCCCTGGGCTTCACGGGCAGCTGGAATGATCCGCGCTATCTCAGGCATTGGGGCAGGCTGGGAGGGAGGGAGGGACGGCGGTGAGGAAGGCATGGAGGCCACCCTGGCGGGTATCGTACTCAGCTCCCAATCCAGCAAGCAAGTGGGGTCACCCGCCCCACCCAAGGCCTCCCTCGGATGCGCACATGCCCGCCCGCAGTGACTTTGTAAAGGGAGAGGGACTCTCAGTCACCCAAGGGCAGGCTGGCAGCCCAGCCCCGGCTCTGCCTCTGCCCCTTCGGCCGAGGCCGGGGAGCAGTCGGCCCACTAGGTGGCGCCATTGCACCCCTGCGCGACTTCGGGGCACAGCCTGGCCGGGAGACACCCACGGGGAGACTCCCCGTCCCCAAAGAGCAGGGAGCCAGCCGCACACCTGAAATAGTCGCCAGGTGACTGATCTCGGAGCTGAGGGGCGCGGCCTTTGCAGTAACAGTTGAGGGGAAGGAGGAACCATTTGGGACGGAGCCCGGAGGGGCAGGACGAGCCCCGGCTGGGGA